GCTTTTTTAGTGGAAAAATCTCCGAGAAAAGAGTCGAGCTGCACCAGTTCGCCTTTCGTTTAAACACAAGCTGCCAGGAAACGCTGACTTTATCATTCTTTTGTTGTGTATCTCGGCTTTGACCCGTCTGAAGGAGTAGCAGGGTATAAGGTGAAAGACAGGTCAGGCTGTCTAAGAGCCCGAATATCGAAGTGCAACGACGAGCTTCCACAGATGCTCCAATCCTGCTTCAAACTGCAACGAATATTTGATGTTTGGGATTAAAAATGTACCGTCAGTTTGCACATCATCTCATGTGGATTCGTTTAAGTTTAAAAAAAAAAAAAGACGAGCAGCAAATCTTTAATCTTTCATTTTTGCTGTTTTATTGTCACCATTTAAAGGCCCGTTAAATAAAAAACCTCTAACCACACATCTTGTGATCCCAACTGATTTATTTCACTGTGACCAAAGCTTTACATTCAACCAAACAGCAGAGTGCTTTATCATAAGTTAGTCAAAATGTTCCTTTACGCGTGTATTTATTTATTTCAGTCAGGATTTTTTCCCACAAATGCGCTTCAAAGAATGAACTCCAACTTAATCCGAGCTTGTAGTTTGAATAATTCCATCTCACCCAGACAGCTTCACATCTGTGTTGTTGTAATCCCTCCAAAACCAAACGATAGTTGATGAAAATACATAATTCTCCTTTTGATTTAGGATCCTAGATGGGGGGGAGGTTGGAAATCTATTTCGCCCTGATGTGGTCTTTTCTTTCCAAATAACAATCCGCTCCCAGTCTGTGGAGCAGCAGCACTGGCACTGGTCGCCATGGTGGTTATGGTTAATGGCTGACGAGGAGTTGGTCAACTTTTGCACCCTTTGAGCTGTCAGCAGGAGAGAAAAATAATTAAACTTTTTGATAAGTTTGTAAATGATTTGGTTTGACCCCGGTGGCCTTTAGCCTCATCTTTTTGCGCAGCGGTGATAAACAGTTTGTGGCTGAGCGTCCGGCGCTGGTTGGACTTTATGTTGCTGTTTCGTTGTTTGGCAGTTTGCAGAATTGGAAAAAAAAAGTTGCTGATATGGTTTAAAGATTTTTTTTTTATTCTCCTTTATTGTGAACTTGAGGTTTGATGGAGGGAAGAGCTGCACAGAGACATGGTTTGACCTGAGTTGTGTGCTGTTTGCTGGAGGCAGCTGGAGGCCTGCAGCTCTTCTGCTTTCTGTCTTTTTTTATTTTTTATTTAGTGAAGCAGTGATTGAAAGTTTGTTGGAGCAGCTGTGTGACCAAGTTTTCTTCATTATTTTTTATTTTTTTGCATTGTAGAAATTGAGAAATGAATTAAACCCGTGGTGGCCACAGGGAATGCTGCTTCAGTTATTGTGGAAACTGGATTAAATTGAGATATTCAGATATTATTCCAGCCCATAATTAAAGGCCTTTAGTGTGTGTCTTTGCCCCCATCTGTTTCCAATGCATGCCCCTTGTTTCCCTGTGCATCCCAGCTCCTTTGATGCTCTTGTTCATCCTAACTGTAAAGCCACTTTGTGCGTTTGGTTTTGGCTCCAGATGCTGTAAACACAAAGTGCTGTTGGTCTTTGGGCTCAAAGTGTCGCTTCCCGTCGTCTATATATACCCTGTAGAACCGAATTTGTGTGATGAAATCACAGTCACAGATTCGATTCTAGGGGAGTATATGGTCGATGAAAAAACTTCGATTCACTGACCTGTCGCCATCTTTTATCCGTGCGTAATGTGTCGCCACAAAACACAGCGTTGCGTTATGAATGAGAGTAAATCTGACAACACCACCTTCCTCACATAAGGAGAAGGGCTGTGCTGCAACTCTAGAGGCTCAAAGGAAACCTGATGCAAAGTGTTTCACCTGAAAATACACCTAATACCAGAGGACGCCTGCGTTTAGTGAATAAAACACCCCAAAAATAGATAAAAACCTGAAACCACACGCACAGTCCAGCTGTAGCTTCTTCTTTTTTTTCCTCCTGTGGGTCGTTTGTGTCTCCACATTATTGATTCCCAGAGGCTGCTGCTGCTGCTTGTGCTGCCCAATAGGCTCCTGAGACAGTTTTTTTTTTTTTTCAAAGGGATGGGAGCAGATGAAGTGATGAGATTGGTGTAACTTTTGGATGACCCCTTCTTGACAAAGACAGTGTCCATCAATTGTCTCCAGTCATTATTCGCTGCTTTTATGCCGACGGGCTTTTTGTATCTTTTGTTGGACTCTCTGTTGAACACAACGCCTTCAAGTTAGACCACAGAAAGTCTTCTATTTTTACTTCAGCATGCTTAAAACATCCTTCATCCCCTATATGTTTATTTTCTTCATAAATATAAAGTTAAATATTTAAATCAGGAGCTTTTATTTTTTTATTTTTATTATTTTTCAGCATCTCTTTTTAATCCCCAAACATAGACGCAAGTGTTTCAGAGGGCTATGTGTGTGTATTTTTCCCCACCAGGGTCTAATTTTGGATCTTAAGTTGGGTAAAAATGTATTTAGTTGTATGTTTACCCGTGTTTGGACCAGCATCACCTCCATTGGCCGATCTGGTCACATGGTTCGCTAACTTTATTCAGTTGACACCAAGTAGGAGGGCTTTATGGAGGGAGGAAAAAAAGACAACTCGAGAAAAATTAGTATTTTCTACCTTCAGAAATTAATGGCCATGAGTTCGTATATGGTGAACTCTAAGTATGTGGATCCCAAATTTCCTCCCTGCGAGGAATATTCACAAAATAACTATATACCTGAGCAGGGCTCGGACTACTACAGTCCATCGCAGGACACAGACTTTCAGCATCCAGGGATCTACCCACGGTCAAACTACACGGAGCAGCCCTTCAGCTGCAACACTGTGCAGGACTCCACAGTGCAGCCACGGGGTCATGTGCACGAAAGATCCAGCCAGCCGAGCCATTTTAGCGCACAGACTGAGCAGGGGGCCCCGGTCCAAGTGGCCGGACCCCGGACTTGTGGACAGCAGCAAAACACAAAGAGCCAAAATGGGATACAAGCCAAGCAGCCTGCAGTAGTTTACCCCTGGATGAAGAAAGTTCACGTAACAACTGGTAAGATTTCCTGCCTTTTTCTTCTTCCCTTGTGGACCAGCTGAGAGCTGTAGTTTAGAAATGCTTCAGTGTAATATTTATAGGAGTCTTTGAAAGGCCTCGCCAATTACACAAGTCATAAATTTTTATAGCTCAGGAAATAGGCCGCTAGGTAAGCGCCTGAAAGCTCCTGAAAACACATATTGACCGCTGCTAATGCTCTTAAATCTGCTGCAAATCTGCTTAAATTCACTTGGAATCATGCATTATTTCCTGGTGTCGCTTCCGCGTGTGAATTGACTCAAAGTTTGTGCGCTCCGGCTGCAGACGCTGTACTTTGCCTGTATTGTTGTTTGCCTGCTGCATGCTGCAGTGGCCACATTTGGTGACTTCTTCTCCCTCTTTTTTTTTTCTTCGATGGTTGTTTTCTTTCCTCTCCCAGTAAACCCGGATTACACAGGATCAGAGCCCAAACGGTCCAGAACAGCTTACACCCGGCAGCAGGTCCTGGAGCTCGAAAAGGAGTTTCATTTTAACAGGTATCTGACCAGGCGGCGGCGGATTGAGATTGCCCACACTCTTTGTCTCTCCGAAAGGCAAATCAAAATCTGGTTTCAGAACAGACGGATGAAATGGAAGAAAGATCACAAACTGCCCAACACCAAGGGCAGATCTGCACCAGCCTCCAGCCATCTGCAGAGCATCCAGAAGGACAACCAGACTGATATCACAGCGTTATAAGAGAGAGGAGGCTGTCCTGCTATCTCTAGACATTAACTGTACATAAAAAAGAGACAAAGGTTGCATCTGACTTTTGCATGGACTGATGTCGTTTTTAGCCATTTGTTTTTTAATTTTATTTTTTTAATTTAACAAAAAAAATGCCCCAACAGTGTTGACACAAGACTGAGTCAGAAAAATCTTTATAAGTGAGAGTATTTTTTTTTTTTGCAAGTTGAGCCTCTTCTGTGTTTTAATTTCCTTTTAAAGACACAGAAAAAACATCGAAACAAACTTTTTTCTCCTCCCTTTTTTTTTTGGACGTTACCCCCCTTGAGGACATTTATTACGCAGACTCGGCCCGAATTCATGGATTAAGAAAACAAAAAAAATCTCCTCTACTCACTTGGATTCACGATGCTTTAAAGATTAAAACATCCCTATAATAGTAATAATTTAAAAAATCAGGGGTCATTCGTTGAAATTACGCACACACGAGGCTTATTTCAGTTTTTCTCCAAATGAAACGCACCATTTTTACGCACAATATATATACTTGAAGGAAGCATTATTTGCATAGAGCACGCCAAACACTCCTCAAAATACTTTCGTAAGTTGCAAAATTGTCCCGCTGATTTTTTTTTTTTTTTTCTTTTTTTGTGAATTGTATGTTTTAACTTATTTTGTACAAAAAAAAAGCTTTGAATTTTTTTCTTAGCCTAAATATTATTCCCAAACGTAAGACATTCCTGTGTGCAAACTATTCAGAGTGCCCTTATAAATCTCTCCTGACATCTTTGTAAACAGTGTACATTTTCAGAGGCTCTCTCATGCTATTTGAAACTCACATATGAAAGATCATTTGTTTCCTGCATGGCATCAAAAAAGGAAAGGAAAAAAAAAGATATTTGGATGTTTCCTCGTCGGAAACAATCAAATCCTGAATATTTAGGAGTATAATTGTTTATTTTTCTTGATACGATTTTCATTATTTATTTGTTTAAAAACAAACGTGTAAATTTTTTCCTATAGCACACAATTTAATTAAAAGTATTCGTTAAAACGTTTATTATTCTGAAATAAGTTGGAACTCTTGTGCATTATTAGCATGGCTTTATGCAAAGTTTTTTAGTCTTAGTTGATATGGGAATCTTATAGTTTCTTTTTTTTTCTCTTCTCATTTACAACAAACCCAGCCGAGGGGGGGCTTTCAGGTCACGTCTCAAGACAGATATTTCTTGTTTTATACCGTCATTGTCCTCGGACAAGAAAAGCCCAGAAGCTCTCCCAGTATGAGGAGGTCTCCTCTCTTGAAAGTCTTCGTGATGAGAGACTTGAAAAGGTATTTCAACCGAAGGTCGACAAAAGCAGCAGTGGCAGGTTCATCCAGGGGACACATTTCAGCCGCAAGGACTGACCCCAACACCCCCTGACCCGCCGGACGATTTTCTCTCCCAGGCGCTATTCGCTTTGCTTCTTGGAGGGCTGATCCACACTTTTAAGAAACACACACTCACACACAAAAAACGAGGCTCATTCAAAGTAAGAAGCAGCGGATTCCACAGTTTTAGCAGTATTATATTCATATCAGCCCACCGAGGGAAAAACAAAAAGGTTCTGATTTGTGCATTTGTCTCCTCATGTCAATATGCAAAATCCTTCTTGTTGTTATTTTTGTACATGCTTTTTACCTTGTACTGTGCATTGAGATGTGAGAAGTATATTGGAAAAAATAAAGATTTCTACTGATTATGCATTTAAATATTTGCAAGAAAAAAAAGCCTTTGTCGTGGGGTGTTTATTGTCTCCACCTAAAAGATTTTTCATTTTGAGGGATTTTATTTTTCTGACCCACTGAAGCGTTTCTGATTTTCTCTGATTGCTGGAAATTTTATTTTAACGTAACTTTTTTTTGTTGGTGTGATTTGGTGTGCGCCATTCACAAAAGGATCACGTTTCGAGGGTAAAAGTGTTCCTTGGCTTGTTTTTTAACAAAGCACGTGGAGCCATATGGACCTGAAGCCCTCTTTTACCAAACATCCACAAATGGACCAAATGCGCACTGCATGAGCACGTTTAGCTTGTTGTCCCGGAAAGTTTGTAATTTAGGGGCAGAAGTGTGTTTTTAGTGCAAGATACGTGAGGGCTATCATTGAGAGGGGGGAAAAAGAAAGAAAAAAAAAAAAGATACAGAGCGAGTTTGTGCCCTGCCGTGTCTTAGTTTTAACTCATTAGCTCTTAACAAAGGGAGCACACACTCTGCGTAAAAACAGCATCCTCACACAAAACGCTCATCATCTTAGTGGTGATTTCCAGAGGCAGTTTAAAGAAAGAAGAAACCACGAACAAAATAGTCCCTACATGACTCTTTATTATGAGATACAAACACAAATTAAGTTTACTGGCCTCATAAGACAAAAAAAAAAACTTCTCAGATTCTCCAAAATCACATGAATCCACATTTATGAACACGTATGAACGCAGTGGAGCTTCTGTACCTGCACATGATACTCTAAGGTGGTATAGAGGACATAGACTTGCGGTTGATAGTAAACCCCCCCACACCACCACCACCGCCGCCCCCTTCATGCTCCATGAGCTTTATTGAGGATGACCCACTGCAACACTGACCTCCGACCCTCCGCGCTACAGAATCAACTCTGATACTAACAAAGTGACCATTTACAGTCATGCAGAAAGACAATCTGCCCCCACACAGTTTTCCACCCCTCCCTCCCTCCCTCTCTAGTGACCACCGTCTTATTACCAACCTCCGCCCCCCCCACACACCACCACCACCACCACTACAAGCACAAACTGTGGACATGTACATGTTTGCAAAATAAAAGCGCGTGTCGTGTAGATTTAGAGAAAAAAAAAGTAGTGATGCCACCAATCCAGCATGATGCCAGAAATGATTGCACATATAGATGCTGAAGAGAAGAGGAGAGAGAGGGGGGGAGGAGATGTGGTGAGGGGGAGGAGGGGAGGGGGGGCACTAACCTACCTAATATACATCACTAGTGCTTTAAGTTAACCAGTGGATGCTGTTTGTTATTTTGGAGCCGTTTATGATAAAACGCATCTTTTCTGTGCTGCTGCTCTTCAAACACGAATTGAAATCAAATCATAACAGCTTCCTGAGCCATTATCAGGTCACAGCAGCCCTACTACAACGTGCAGCGTGTAGCCACACTGACCTACATGTCTGAACAGCAATAAATGGGAAGCCAAAGGCAGTGCCATTTTCAATGACACTGCACCCAGTGCAGGAATACAACGTCGTTGCTCTCCATCCGGCCATATTTGATTTCCAGCTGTTTTTCGCAGAAGCCTCTCCGAGCCAGACAACCCCCCTAAGATATATTAAAGTGCGCTGTCTGCATTCAGAGATATAATCCAGAGACTATACCACTCCGCTCTCCATTCTCGACCACGTGATTGTCTAAATAATTAATGCAGCACGTCCCCCTAGAAACACGGCGTCGTCATTAATCGCAAGGACTCTATCAGACTTGAAAACTGAAGAGATCCCCCAAGAAAATAATATCCGATACGCGGCGCAACTGTAGTCCCGCACTTTAGCGACACATCTGAACCGATGGATGCTTGGGTAGGTAAATATTTCAGCATTTTTCATGTTGCCCGAGCTGGTAAATGACGATATCAAATGTCGTGATATTTGATAAATTGCTCCCTTTGATGTGTGCGCTCTGAGCACTGTTGTAGGCTGTGGCTGCTGCTCGCTGTACGCATGTCTTCTTTTTTTTTTTTTTTTTCCTTCTTATTAAATATATCAGCAGCAGAAATTTTTACTGTTTGCCTTTTACGCATGCATCTTGAGAGGGATTGATAGGACTAATGGTAAAAACTAAATGGCACTGACGTGTATTTATGGATGTTCGCTCTGAATAACTGCTCTTTCGGACACATGCAGCTCGCTTTGGCTCCTCCACTGGGCCCATTCATTCTTTATTCGCGCGCGGATTTTTTTTTTGCCAGTTTGGCACAAAAAATGCTAAAAATACAGGAGGTATCTATTTTTAAAAATGGACTCTGCTTTAATATAATGAATGTTTTCTTTGCGCAGTAAAAATGAAGCTATTCTGAGTTGGAGTTTTCAGCCACCTGGTTATTTATGTCTCCTTTACGCGTGAGAGCAAAGTGGATTTCTTTAGTTTTTTTCTTGAATTTTATTATTATTGTTGTTCGTGGGGGCTTGATTTGATTTTGATTCCTCAGAAGTCGTGGAAGTTTAGTGCAGCCTGACAGTTCTGCCTCCTTGTAAATCATTCTCAGTTATTCCTGAAAGGGTTGCGAGGCTGTTGGGGGGCCGGGCGAAAACTGTAAATCTTTCACTTTTATTACCCTCTGAACATATGCTGCGACGCTACCAGCCCTGCATCCCTTCTTCTTCTTCTTCCTCTTCTTCTTCTTCTTCTTCTTCTTCTTCTCAGCAAAGATAACCCACCGCTGAGCCAGCCGACGGTCTCTGCGGCTCCAAATCCTCCTCCTCCAAATCCATTCTGGCCCCTTTTTTAGTGAATTTATTAATTTATTGGCGATTAAACCAAACTGTTATTTAATGCACTTTTTTTGTGATTTATATGCTGGAAAACGGCGCAGGAGAGGAGAAGACATGGCTCTTTGTGTTTCAGCAGTGTGTGAGGACAGACACAAGCAACACAAGATGATAATGTGGTTTATTTGAATACAATCCATTCCCAGTTGCAAGAAGAAGAAAAAAAGCAAAACCCACATGTCATGTATTTCATTAATCATAAAAAAAGCCACATAGTTGGATTCATTTGTCATTTAGTCAGAAATAGTAGTTCACAATAATATACAAAAATACCGTGATGTTTTATTTGTCTCGATTTATTGGAAAAAGAAAAAAAAAATCTGATAGTTTCTAAAAATCTGTGGCATTTTTTTAGTGCAAGTGAAACTCTGGATAACCTGCTGTACATTTCAAGGCTTCTGCAGCACAAAATGCACAAATCATTTTACGCACATGGATGCTGCAGTGCACTGGAGGAGGCTGAGGATGTGTAAATCTGTGTTATTATTAGTAGTGCGATCCCAAAAAAAAAGAGAGAACTGTGTATCTGCTTGTGTTTAAATACTGAAGTGGAGGCAATGCTGGAGGAGATAAAAAAAAAAAAAGAAATAGGCAGAGGGACATTTTCACATTCACACAGTTCAGATGAGGAAATAAACGCCACCCTTTATCAAAATGGATTGGTGAGGTAAGGCTCGCTTGAAGAAGAGAACAATCACGTGAACAAATATGCTTGTATCTAACGGCAGCGCCTTTATTTGTCATCATAAAGCTTCCCCCGAAACACCCCAAAAAATCCTAATGTTAGCTCCAAATCTGCACAGGCCTGTCCGTTTCTGAATTCCTGTATATTTCACTGGGTGATTGATTGCCAGTGATTTTTTTTTTTTTTTTTTTTTTTGTGTGCCTCTGGAATAAGGATACCTTGTTCGCTTTTTATTGGTAGTTGAATGCGAGTCCTTCCATTCTTTCGGGAATACTGTCTCCACTGGTATATGGAAATGTCTGAAAAACAGCAAGATCAGGTTTAGGACAGCATTGTCTACAGACAAAGGGTGAAGGATTTATTCTAGAGACTTGCGTGGAAAGGAAGTGAGACTGAGAGGGGAGCTGCTTTATGATGAATTGATTCGCAGGTAAGGAATTGCATGGCAGAAAGCAACCTTTAACCACGGGTTAATATAATGCAAGGAAATATATATGATTCATTCCATCCGAGGGGGCTGATGCTTGTTAATGTCGCTCTCGCCTGTGCGCGGATATGGAGCCCTCAGCTACATCTTCAAAAGCAGATTTCTTTTTCTTTTTTTTCCTTTCTCTTTACGCGTTCAAATATTATCGACACATTGAGCCCGAGCTGCTCTGCGCTTTTCAGCTGATTTCACGTTTATGAAAACCGGCTCGCAGGAGGAAGCAGGAGAAGGAACTTTTTCTTTTTGACTCTTGGATCGTAAATCACATTAATTTGTTGTCTTATCGTCACACTGGCGTTTGCCGTGATTTATGTGGTTTCAACTATATGGCTTTGTTAACCTGCAACGTTGTATTATATTCATATTGGATGTTTTTTAAAGGATTACCGGCGCCGAATAGGGAGCAAGAACAAAAGGCAAATACTTCTATTTGGATTCATTTATGACTAACTTGTTGTTGGTTAATATTCATGTGAATATTTGCTTGTGTTTTCTCTTGCTTTGGTGACTGTCTGCACTGGAACATGAGGGCCTGAGCAGCAGAGACAATCAATGCTTTTATTTATTTAAGATGCTTTTTCTCATTTTGCGCAAATTATTGTTGGGTTTGATTTCTGTGCGTTGCTTCTTTTGCAGGCCTGCTTGTGATTGTGCGCTTTGGTCTATAGTTAAGAAACAAAGACTGGATATTTTACAGCAAAAAATCCATTTTAAATCCAGTTTTCTTCTTGTATTTTATCACAAAAACAGAGTAAAAAAATACGCATTGTGCGTTATTTTACGCATTTTTTAAAATTTATTTTGGATGTTCCAAATGTTTTTTATTCCTCCCCTAGTAATTCCAACACGCGTCTGGAGGCTGTTTAACTCCAAATATCGATAGAATCTGAAGGGTCTAACCAGAAGAAGTGGGATAATAACACTCCACATTGACTCCGAGCCTTTGTGCGAACCAAACTTACCGTAACAGCGCGTAGGCGAAAAACACAGTCGTGTGAAAAGAGGGACCATGTCTGCGACTAGTAGCTCAGTGGTGCTCAAGAGCTCTGGAGGCGCACATTATCGAAGCAGCTTCCACGAATATTCCACACGGAGACATTTCCATCGCCACGTTTTTAAACCATTTATCCTTCAAAATTCAAGCAGCCAGAGAGAAATAGATTTTAGTATTAATATTAAGAATTTAAAAAAAGAAGTGAAAACGTTGCTTCTGTTGCCGTCGGTGCAGCATCTCGTCCTCGCCGCTGAAAAAACTGCTTTGAATTTATTTGAGTCTTGGATCCACTTGAAGCCAAACTGCTCGTTGTTCATTAAACTTTGGCTTAATGCTGAATGACCCAAAGGTCACCTAAAAAAGCTTATGGCTGCTGATATCTGGCCTGGCTCTTTGTATAAAAAGTGCACATGTAGGACTTTTCACTCTCAAGCATTGTAGCAGCAACTTAAAAAAAAAACTGTCATAGGTGGAGCCTTCTAGGTTTTTAAAGCCTTTAAGATTTATTGTCCAGAAAGAATTTTAAATGCTAAATAATTCATATTACACGCACAGATTGGGCCTGTTGTTTGTTTGTTTTCCTGCTATATGCATTGAATTTAATCACCACACGTTGCTGCATTTCAAAGGAGAAAAAAAAATCTCATAAGAGGACATTTTTATTAAACTTTATTTGTCTTCTAGGTCGAGATGGAAGCAGCGATGAATGCGTGAGGGACATAAAACAGATCTGCGCAGATTTCGGTGAGTAACACTTCTTTAATGAAGGGAGTGGACGACACAGCCAACTGCTAACAAGGTGAAAGGGTGATTTGTTATTAGGCTACACATTTACGCTCACAGTGTTTCGCGAGAGGCTTAAATCACCAAAACAGACATGAAGCATGGCCTTAACTGAGCCTGTAATTATTTACGCAGGCCAGAGTCCAATTTCAGTGCCTCGTTTTCATTTGTAGTAAAGAAAAAAGAGAATGAATGAGAGAACAATTATGTTTACAGTCATCTTAGCTGTTAATCAAATACATGCAAATTACAAAATATAAAAAATAAATGGTAGAATTTCACCACTTCACCCCACGAGTCCACATTACTTAGATGCGCCAAAAATGCTTCGATTTAAGCAGCGGAACAGCTCCGTTTTTGTCCTCTCCTCTGCTGCAGACTCGCACTCAGCCAGAATGGAGGCATCATTTATAAACCGAGCCCTCTGCATGGGAGAAGTCGCCGAGTATGAAATTCTTTCCCTTGCCTTCCACCTACGCTTAGTTTTACACTTCTGAGAGCTGCGACTCTTGAGGAGTGTTTTGCTTTTCATTCCTCTCTGAGGCCGTTTACAACCATAACATTTGCGGTCATAAATTTTGTCGCGGTCCACACTGACAGGTGCAATTGTTATGCACGGCGCAGACTGCACCTCCTGAAGCCACCAACATACAGTACAGGGCCCTTTGATATTTGTGTTAGTTAAAAACGTCTCTCTGTCGTATGCGTAAAAAACAACAACAACAACAAGAACAAATGTAGCTGCAATTAAACATGTTCACCAGAATATTTGTTCTTTTTTCTAATTTATTTTTAAGCAGCTAGAGGGTAAAAATGTGCAAGAAGCTGCGGAAGAAAAACGCCCAATTTAAAATATAAAGGCTGAGACGTGATTGAAGGCTAATGAAATATCATATTTTACCGCCACCCACCCACCCAATCTCTCTCTCTCCCTCCCTCCCTCTCTCATTCCCGCACACACACACTCACGCACACACTCACGCACAGCCACCACCTACACGTTTTGATATCAGCATTAATAACAACCATTGGAGGACTTTTAGTATTTTAGCATCTTGCGTGCGTAAAAACGCGATCCAAATGCGTGCGCGCCGGAACAATGAACGCATGACGGGCTTTGTCAGGCCTTGTGATTAGTCAAAGGTCTATTGTGTGTATGTGTGTGTCAAATGCTGATTCAGCTTATTTGTGAGGGACTCCTAAAGCCTCCCAGAGGGTTTTTTTTTTTTCTTAGGGCAAGTTAAACTTTAACTGTTTTGTGCCAGAAATGAGGGGAGCGAACGGCCTCTTAGAATCTGGGGCTCTGAGATGAAGCATTGTTACAGACGCTGTGTGGAGACAGTTGGTTATTTCTAATCTAATGGCTGCTGTAACCCAGAGCAACCAGGGCCAAGCATACTTGTGATTCTGGTGGTTTATTATTGTTTTTAAAACCCTGAATCTCACATATTCATTAAGGCCCGTGCAGTTATAATGAGTGTATTTGTCTTTATAGGTCACAGACTGGAGCAACGGTGGGAAACACCAATCACGTGAATAAACAACACCAATGCCATTGGATAGAGTTGCACTGGCTTATTGGCTTTAAACCCACAAAATGCAGAAAGCAACATACTACGATAACTCTGGACTTTTTGGAGGCTACACTTACCCCAAACCAGACTCTTACAACTACGGCCCCGCGCACCAGTCCTACTCTACTTCTAACATCGAGAGTGACTACCAGGGCTCGGTGTGTCCCATCCAGACCTCTACAGTCCGACCACCGGCCCTCAAAGACAGTGACCTGAACGGAGACTGCATGCGGCAAAGCAGCAGCAGCAGTCAGAGCAACAGCAGCAGCCAGGCCACGAGTATCTCGGAGCAGCAGGCGCCTCCACTGTCCGCATCCTCCCCGAGCTCCAACAGCTCTGCGTCCCAGAAGAAGAAGTCTCCATCCAGCAGCGGTTCTAGCGCTGCCACACCAGCCCTCACCAAGCAGATCTTCCCCTGGATGAAGGAGACCCGGCAGAACTCAAAGCAGAAGGGCAACAACTGTGCCACTGCAGGTAGTGACCGTGGCGGTGAAGGTGTGTGCATATGTGTGTGTCGTGTGTTTTTGGGGGAGAGGGAGGGAGGGTTGAAGGGGGGGTGACTGGGCCTTGATGTGCTTATGAGTTGGTATTCATATGGCTCAAAAAGATGCTGCGGTTCCTCCACAGGTGGCGAGGTGAGTGACGAGAAGAGCCCACCGGGACCGGCCTCCAAACGGGTCAGAACTGCTTACACCAGCGCGCAACTCGTGGAGCTGGAGAAGGAGTTTCACTTTAACCGCTACCTTTGTCGCCCTCGGAGGGTGGAAATGGCAAATCTGTTGAATCTCACCGAGCGCCAAATAAAGATCTGGTTTCAGAATCGGAGGATGAAATACAAAAAGGACCAGAAGTCTAAAGGGCTGGCGCACTCTCCCCTGGGACATTCCCCGGACAGGAGCCCGCCGCTGAGTGGCCCAAATCACATTGGATACTCTGGCCAGCTCCAAAACGTGGGCAGCCTCAGCTATGACGCGCCCTCGCCCCCGTCCTTCGCCAAACCCCAGCAAAACATGTACGGTTTGGCCGCGTACACTGCGCCCTTGGGTGGCTGCATCCCGCAACAGAAGAGGTACCCGGGATCCGAGTACGAACACCACGGCATGCAGAGCAACGGCAGCTTTGCCAACGCCAATTTGCAAGGCAGCCCCGTTTATGTGGGTGGGAATTTTGTTGATTCCATGCCAGCCTCGGGCCCCATGTTCAACCTCGGCCATCTTCCCCACCCCTCATCCACCAGCGTGGACTACAGCTGTGCCGCTCAGATCCCAGGAAACCACCACCATGGACCCTGTGATCCCCATCCCACATACACAGACCTCACCTCTCACCAAGCGTCTCAGGGAAGGATTCAGGAAGCGCCTAAACTGACGCATTTGTAATATGTGGTTTCGTGTGTGTGTGTGTGCGCGTGTGCGTGCGTGCGTGTGCGTGTATGTATGTGTGCCAAAATTACGTTGCGCTCTTTTTTATTACCTCACTAGTCTAATAACTACACTCCAAGCGAGTCGTGTGTATTATTACAGTATTATTGATATTACTATTAATGCTATTGTGTAATTATTTTCTAAATAATACAGCTTTGTCCATTTCTCTTGAATATTTGGGGATGCGCAGAGGCACACTAGCCTGGTTGTCAGTAGTTCTTTTCTTTTGTTTGTTTATTCTCAAGTGCAATGCGCAAAAAAAAAAAAGAAAAAATGAAATGTTTTTTTTTTTTGACTGAATATTTCATGCCGTTACTTGAAGGTAAGTCTTGTAGTTCACGAAAGTAGAAGCTCATCCTTAGAGAGAGAAGGATTTTTTAGGGGGAAATTTTCTGTCTGTTTGTTAGGATCTCATTTATTTTTTTTCTCTCCTCACGGGCATCCTATTTATTTATTATTCTGATTTTTTTTATTTTTTTTTGCATAATCTTTCGTACTAGCATATTAGCCTATTTATTATTTAATTACTTTTGTATTGCACATTATTTATCGTTTATATGCGAGTATTTATAAGTAAGTGTGTGGAGTTTGTTGTAAGATTGGACAGATCAGTGCACTTGGAAAGTGTTGGCAAAACAGGGTTTTTTGGAGAAGAGAAAAAAAAATGCTATGACTCGCAGTGTATTGTTGGAAAAAAAGAGCATTTCTAATTGTAAATCTGGGATAAATGGGGCATTTTATAGTGTATAAACACCACTATATGTCCATGGTTAATCTTGTGTCAAACCTTAAGCAAAACGTAGACTATCGAAGTATCAAATATTATACACACCAGCATGTCATTTTGTGTAGTCCATTGCTATTTTTTATTTGTCTTCCATTGTTTATTCCATTCAGTTGGATATCCATAAATTTATGAAACCCTAATGATATTGAAATGTTATATTTTATTGTGTTTAACATTTTGTAAATAAAGTGCTTAAACTTGTATTATTATTTTATTTTAGTGCATTTTGTTGGAAGAACAGCTTCTCATTATTTTTAATTCCTCATTCAGCTGCCAGTAAAAACAACAACTGTCAGGTAACAGAGGCCAGTTATTGACTCCCAGCTCTACTGTACAGTCCAAACAGGGGGAGAGACGATCAATAATTAGACACCAGGATATCTAAAACTCATCAGACGGCTCTATGCTTCCAATGCAAAGTGCATTTCAGCGGAATAAAAGGCTCTGGAGATTATTGATGTTTTATTGGTGTGAGGGAAGTGAGTCTATGGGCTTATTGCATCTTCCACATGTCACTTATCATTAAAAAAAAAAAAAAAAAAAAAAGTCTCGGCCATATGATTACCTTCCTGTGTGCAAGAAAATGAGCTCAATTTTTCCAAAGTCTAATCAGTTGCTGTCTAATTGATTGTTACACACAGAGATTGGAAAATAATCCTCCTTAAAGTGGCCAAGTATAAAGATGCGCCCATTTGTTGTGAGGCAGAGCAGATTGGTGACAATAAAAATACATGGTGCTGCTTTGACATTGGGAAAGATGCAACCATGTGTGTGTGTGTGAGGCAGAGAGAGAGAGAGGAGAGAGAGAGGGAGCAGTTCATCCTTTATTGCTCCTGGAGAGCCATTTCAAAGCTCATTAATCAAAAACTCGTCGCTTTCAGACTCCTCGCTGATCCCTCCTCCTCGTGAACAAAGCATTTGCATTCCAAATCCAAGTAACACATTTCTAACTGAGCAGGCCAATCTTTAATGGTGGGGGGAGAGAGTTGGAGTAAGAAAAAAAAAAATCCCACTGTGTTCACATTTTCGAAGATGATAAATCCTCGGATTTAAGGGCGCATGAAGGCAAATGAAACTCCTGTCACAGAAATCATCAGTGGCTTTAAATTGCGCGCAGGTTCACAGTCACAGTGATCCCCTCAAAAGGAAAAAAAATAAAAACCCAACCTCCAACCAGCAAACCGATTTACCTCGCTGGTATAATCCTAAACCCCCTCACAAACAACTTGAGCATTTATTTCATCTTATTCTTCAATATGAATCCATGCTGGATTTTGGCCTAAGAGCTGCTACAATAGGCTACAAATCATTTCAGTATTCAGTGCATGGCGGCCATTTTAACCCTGGGTGCTCCTTTTTCATCTCCCTCCCCTCCAGTTTCTGCACCTCACAAGTCATTTATGGAGCTCTGATAAAATAGCTTCTTTACAACTGAATCTGAAGCTGAATATTTCATATTTTCCTGCGTTTTTGCGCACGAAATACGCAAGTTCAATTACTAAAAGTCTAAATTGGAATGAATAAATTAAATAAGCAGTGGAGATTTTCATGACTGAAAATAAAAACCTTAACAAATGAAGCTGGGAAGAAAAAAAAGTCTCATTCATGTGATGGAGCAAATTGAGTTTCCTGGTCATTAATGCTCCAGAGCACACATGGGTGGAGCTGAGATCAAATTCAACAATCAGCCAGAAAAAAAAGAGGAAATTTCACCCCAATTGGACACAACAGCAGCGTATTTCCTTTCCTTGGAGAAAAAACAAAACAAAATCCACTTATGTTGAGAGGCCTGGCTGGAAAAGGAAGCTTTATAGTTGTTTGGATGTTGTGCAAGAAAACAAAACTTGCCAAGCACATGCTCCTGTTTGGATTCCACATGTGTTGTTTAGGCTATTTGCAAAGATTGCATATTGGAATTGATTTGAAATTGGAGCCAAAAAAATGTGAAGTAATTGAAACTCACAGAAGAGAGGCTTTGCCCGGAGCAGGCAGTGCAGCTCATTTAGCGCTCCTGATTGGATACCAGCCGAGCAGGCCACGCCCCCTCACTGAAGGGTAATATTTACATATGGAGAAGTAGCCTTATACTGTAGAGCAACTATTAATGAGAACAACAGCCTTTAAACTTATCTCTACTCGGGACCTCTTGCCTGGAAACAACCGGTTTTTAAAATTTTTGATGCGTAATTTTTCTCTCTCTCCTGTAAATGTATGTTATTGTGTTTGATGATGGACAGAAGGTTTCTAACAGGGACCACCGGGGGAGAGCTGCTTCTCATTCAGTGTTTGAGGTAGAGTAAATGAGGATAGTTTTTGTTATAGGATGTAGTGAGAAATAATCAAAGTGCACATTCTTCATCAGCTCTCGAAGAAAGTTGGTCGGCTTTGGCACAACATATCGCGATGTCTCGTGTGCGCAACCGAGCAGCGTCCATCTCCATCTCCAGGGAGGCTTTTTTTTTATTGTGATTTTTACGCGTTGGGGGAGAGACCAGAGGGAGCAGCAGCTGTAGCACAAGAAATAACGTTGAGATTAGTTAGAAATGTGTCAATTTTTTTCAGATTTTACCTGCTTGGTTTTTTCTTTCTTTTGTTGTCCAACGCTTCTTTGTTTGCACCGAGCGCTCTGACTGTGGATTATAAAGCATCGGATCAAGACTGAAGCTCAGCAGCAACGCAGTGAACCGAAGTGAACTGCATGAGAGAAGGACTTTCACCTTTTTTTAAAAAAGAAAAATCTGAGAAAAAAAAATAGAAGGACTCATTTGTATGTGAAGGTCTGTTTTTATCACAGAATCCACAAATTAATTCAGATTTTTTTTCCAATGGAGCAGTAGTTTGTATGTTGACTGATGGGAAAGGGACTCTTTCTCTATCCATAAAGCTCATGATTTTTAGAAAATTAGCTTTAAATTTGCTGGATATATTGTTGTTTATTTCTGGCTTTCGTGTTTGCATCAACTAAAGAACATTTACTGCATAACAAAGGGGTTCAATCATGGACATTTTGGGATTCAACCCCAGAAAACTTATTTCTTTCCTTCCTTGTATGATGTCTGGATGAATCAAGGAAGTTTTATTTATTCACTGATTTTTTATTTCTGTAACCTGGACAACAAAATCATTTAGTTTTGATGTCAGTAACCTATTGTTTTTGGTGTTTAATTGCATAACATGTTGTTCAATGCCAGCTTTAATTGTGCCACTTTGTAATGTTGCTAAATCAAAATGCTCCCACTGATGTACTCTGTAACAAGCAGCTTGTATTAATGTCTTCATGAATTTCTCCTCCCTCTCCAAATAAAATGCTTAATTTATTTTGTACTGGTGTATTTTTTCATTTATTCTTCATATATTTGCCTTTTCTCCTCCCAAAGTAAATCCTAAAATACACAGCAGCACTAATAGTTTTACTTTCCTCATGCAAAAAGGTTTATTTCTCATTTTTTGTTGCACTGACTCACAGAATTTCACATCTTTTCTTACTCATTTGTGTATCAGAGAGCAGCAGGAAGGGAAAGTGATCTGGATCACACCCCCGCTGACCATCTGTGAGCAGTGACAGAGGATGTGAGTGTCAGAGGACACTGTTGTCAGAAGTCCTTCGCTCTGTGGCCTCTGCTGTCATTAAGGATTCACCACACTGTGTGTAGGTGAATGGACAGAGGGAGGCAGACACTTTTTTTTCACAGGGAGGGCATGTATGCTGTTTGGCAACTCATAAAGTCTCCTTCTGAGAGGAAACAGACGACTAAACTACTGCAGGATACGTCACATTGTGTGAAGTCTCATCATTTGTTTGCAGAGGGCTGCATCTGTCCTTTAGATGGCATTTTATAAAAGGAGGCATATTGCAGGGGGGAAATTTCCTCCACATGCGATGACAAATGTGAAAAGCATCACCACAGAGCCAAATGAATAGTTTGATAAATGTGAAAAACCTGAAGTGCGACTGCAACACTGGATGCTGTCTGCTAATAAACCACATCACAATCTCCTTGTTTTGCATAATTGATCTTTGAAGCAACTACAATCCTAATAACACCGCAGACACGTGCCTCTACAGCTGAAAAGGATTCCCAGCAAGGTTTCACATATCAGTGGGGTTAAGTGTCTTCATGATAAAGATGAGAATTGCTGTGAGTTTTTTTCTTAACTCTTCTATTTTAATATACTGAGTTCCCACGTTGAACATGTGTCTGGTTGCTTCATAAAACACTCTGAAACCTGCGACCAAACTGCTGAGAAGAACAGTAGCCGAGGAACTTCCCCACATGGATCATGCATGTTGTCATAGAAACTGATGTGCGTGGATTTATCGCAGCTCTTATGTGTTAGTGATATTGATATAATTGTAACTATAATGTATGACTCCCCTTCCTCTGGGTATGATTTAGAGGGCTTGGCCAAAAGGCTCTTCTCCTCCTTCCTTGTGTGAAAGATAGCTCAGTGATGTGAGGAAACCCAAAGTAATTCATACATTACCCAAGCCTTGACTGCAATGCTCTGGTAGTCTATATCAAAAAGTATTAGTGCCTCTACCCTTTTCTTGATGCTCATATGGATTTCCTTCACGGCATTTTCGGTATGAAATTATGAGTGAATAAATTGCATCTTCATTTATCTTCGAAAAAACCCTCTGTGCTGACTGCGATACTCAGCTCTCAGCGCTTTACATAATTATATTAGTCTTCTGCTACACCACGAAATTGATTGCCCAAGAAAATGAACCTGGCTTTGCTATAAATTACACCTATGGATCATAAGAAATGTGTTATTTTGTTTAAAATAGTACCTAATATAATTAGAGCTCTAATTCATGGCAAGCTACAAGTGTGCCTATTACAGTAACAGGGTTTGGAATTTAATCTGTCTGCTGGATAAAGAATGATCCTGTGTGGTTTTCATTTGTAATCCCAGACACATTATTTCAGTAAAATAGTCTGTGACTTTTAGATATGAGAGATGGATTGTTGAATGAATAACTATATTCATAAGTTTCTGTATTAAAGTTAACAATTCATCCAAGGAAGTTTCAACATTCATCCCGCCGCCTGTCCTGTAGAACTTTTGGCTCCTGCTTTGTTGGAGGTCTTAACTCTGCGAGATCTTTGTCAGAGTGACGTGTGGGATCTTTGCAGGAGGGCGGAAAAATAATCCCTGATGAGAAGAATATCTACTGCAGGCATCTGAGATATTAA